GTTTTTCTCGATTTTTTTGAAAACGCTTGGAAAATGTTTACTTTAGACCTCTATAATGCACCAAGGATATTCACTTTTACATCGGAAACCACCCCCAAAGTTTGAAATTGAAGCATTATTTCGACTAGTTATGCTGTACACAGACACAAAAACAAAAAAAACACACATCATTGTAAAATTAATACATTCATCACTCCTTCAGAATCTAAAAGTTTATAGATGACAATATGAATAAAAAAATTGCAGGAATCAAACGATTTGATTTTGTAAAATTAATATCGTATACATTTTTACCAACACACATGTGATTTTTCAAAAAATATTATTTTATTTGTATTTATATCATATAATTATTTTAACATTTTTAATATTTTTTAATGTTGTAGCTAAAATAATTCAGGACCCAACCTAGTGTAGTAACTATAAAAATCAGGGACCGAACTAGTGTCATACTTWTAAAAATCCGGGACCGAACTAGTGTAGTACCTATAAAAATCCGGGACCCAACTAGTGTAGTACCTGCGATTAGCCCCTAGTACTCGGGACCCAACTCGGATGCGCCGTTTAAAACTTAGGTCCTCCTCAGTCCTCTGTCATAATTAACCAATGTGTGTACTTTTCTACCCATTTTGCCCATAGGTCCAGAGGGATAAATTTTTAAATGGTGAAAGGTGTAATGGTGAGATTGAGTTTATTTGGTGGTGTTGATGCTACGTTATATACTGGAACAAAATTTATAGGACAGGAGAGTGATAATGTGATTGGGGATGTGGTGCTGCCTAGTTTTGCAACTGCGATGACGAGAGAGGAAATTGATCAACGATACGATGAAAGAAGACGTAGAAGGGAGAAAAGGGAAAGTGGAAAATTCTCGACGCCGTCAAGGTCGAGGATTTCGGTTTCTTCATCCTCGCCTAGTTTGGGTAAGAATGCTGAATTTGCGGTTGATAAGAAAAAGAGCGTTAAGTCATTCAGTGCTAGACAACTTGAAAGCGAGAGATCAGAGTCAATAGCCAGTAAAATTTCGAATATGCAGATAGATTCTTCAAGCGACGAGTCAAACAGTGGGGAAGATATAGATGAAAAGGAATTAGAACTTTTAGAAGAATTGGTTGAAAAAGCGAATGCCTGCGATGAGTCTAGTTACGTCATTAAAACTGARGATCTATCTGAGCATGGAGTATTCAATTTTCCGAAATTAACATTAGTGAATGGCAATTTCAAAACACGACACAACCTGACTTTTTCGTAAAAGTAGTCCACCAAATGTTCCTCTGGTTAAGTTCGTTCCATTTATCTGATAGACGGATTTCTTAAACGAAAGCTTCGCGAAATTTCATTTCAAGATCGTGCCAATCGGCAAATACCTCTGACAGAAACCAGTTTCTGGCGGCACCAGTAACGTGAGCTCTAACATAGTGTACACGCTGGTTAAAATTCCAGCCGTTCAGATCGACYACACCGGTCACAGTAGAGATCCAATCTTCGGCAACGTAATTGGTCTCAAGATCATTGMACAACGGAACATTGCGGTCGACTTCCGGCGGTACACGGTAATCGGACTGTATATAAGTCGGTAACTGTTTAGGTTTATCTAATGTAGACGTACGCGTAGCCTCCTCAAGCAAGCGCAGTTTTTCCCGTAGTTCGAAAGTCTCCTTCACCAGGTCGCTGAAAGACGGTGCTTTCAARGTGTTTGGATTCGATACGTTAGGTTCTCCGTTTAAATCATCGTTATTACCACGGACTAAGATAGAATAGATAGTCCGTGACTATCTTAATTGTGATAATGGTATCAGACTTCTCAGATATCACAATATGTCGGCAGTCACATAATAATATAATATTCACATTTTAAGTCATTCTCATTTCAAATTTTCAAACTCACGTCTACCTTTCACATTCATAGTTCACACTGACATTCCATATTTCCAACCAACGTATTAAATAAGATTTCATTAATTAATATTTAAAATTCCATATTTCTGTCAAGTTTGACCGTAAATCAATACTTCCATCTTAAGTAGTGTATGTTTTTTATGTCATGGCGGTAAGTTGTTGAATAAATCTTCCTACATTATTCGTCATCATTACACAAAAAGTGCACAAGTGAACATTTTTATGATTTTTTTTTAAATTTTAAAAGTTGTTTCACTCTATAACAAGTATAACAATTTAATTATTTCACTTGTTCAATTTTTGGGTGACTAGTCAATAATTGTCTAACCATAAATGTTAGATTTTAAGGTTATTATTATAATAATATTTTATTTTAAAATTTAAAATTCAAATATTAGAACATATTTATTTATTATAGAAAATACTAAATAATTGGAAGCAAACATTTTTCATAACATATKTAGATTAATACATAAAATGTGTTGAAGTAATATTTTTTTTTCAGGCAATCATAATAATAAACTCTCAATATAATAAACGTATCTAAACTAAAAAAGTATCTATAGCCATAGGTACTTATTACTTAGAATTGTTTTTAAAATCTAATACTCAATAGTGATAGGTACAAAATGTATTATTTTGTTCACTGAACCACTTAACACAAATGTATTTAATTCTTCGACAGTCAGTAGACACAGAAACAATTGTTCACATGATGAGCAAGAATATGTAGATTGTAGAGTGTCACTATGGGTCTTTTTTTAAGACCTGTTATTCCTTCCCCACAAGACATATATTAGAGAAGGGTTTAACTCTCTTAATTATTATTATTTTTATATACCATCCAGTGCTTGAAATGTAAATTAAATGACAAAAAATACATACTTTTTTAAATAAATAAATATATATATATGTATTTATTTTGAGAGACCATAGACACTTGGCAAAGGTATAATTTTGCCCCCAGATATGTCAATAATAGAAACCTTTAATTATTCTTAAATAAAGAATGAATACTAAATGTTTAAGATAGATTTATAAGTTGAATATACGAGGGACGTCCAGAAAGTAAGGTTACAACATATGTTAAAAATTGAAAAATGGATATATTTAAATGAAATTTACGAAATAAGTGTCAAAACATGTCATTATTTCTCTACATAATCGCCATTAAGATCAATACATTTTTGAAGCCTAGGGACCAGTTTTTGTATACCCTCGTCGTATACCTTCCGCTCCACCTCCCGAAGCCAATTTTCGACAGCATCCTGGACCTCCTCGTCATTTGAAAATCGTTGTCCACCTAAAACCTCCTTCAATTTATTGAAAAGATGAAAATCAGATGGTGCCAGGTCCGGGGAGTAGGGTTGGTGAGTCACAATATCCCACCCAAATGAAACAAGCAGGTCCTGAGTGAGACGGGCGGTATGCGGTCTCGCATTGTCATGAAGGGAGTGACACACCACGAGTCAGCATTCCTCTCCTTTTGTCCTCGATTTTTTTTTTCAACTTTTTGAGTGTCTCACAGTATGCAGCTGCATTTCTGGTGGTTCCTTTAGGCATAAAATCGACTAATAATAACCCTTTCCGGTCCCAAAAAACAGATGCCATGATCTTTCTCTCTGAAAATTGGACTTAGAATTTTTCGGTTGATGGTGAATGGGTATGGCGCCCACTGTAGAGATTGCCTTTTTGATTCGAGAGTATAGTGACACACCCACGTTTCGTCACCAGTCACAATTGAGTCAAGAAAAGTTTCACCCTCGCTTTCATACCGGAATCGAATAACAGAGCGTATCTCACACCTACAGTAGGTGGAGCGATTGAAGGACGAACTGTTTGGCTACTGTGACGACATTTTGTAACGGACTGAGGCGTTTGAATATTTGTTTTGATAGTTAGAAAATTCTCTACATGACTGTGGTGACAACTTAGAAAAATAAAATTCCTTTCGTTCTACACAGCCCTTGTAACCTTACTTACTGGACGTCCCTCGTAATAACTCATTAATATTACTTCATGAATTATAATTACAGGATTATTACCTTATTTTTTCAAACAAGTTAGTAGCAACTTTTTTAATAAGACATAAAAACAAACAAATAGATTATAGTTGTGATTTTGGCGAACAAATTATTTAGGCCCTCCTAGTTTTTACTTAATTATGACCCTGGGGTTGGGTGTTTTATATTATGTAGGAATCAATGTTAATAATACTCAATAATATATAGCTGGAGCTATGGTTACCAACTTTACACCTGGACCAGTTTCTAATGTCCAATAAAACTCAACTTAAAAATATTATAATTTTAAGAAGCATTTTCATTTTTCAATACACTGCACATTGGTTATACATTTCGACAGCTCAATAGGTTATTTTGAATCGCTTTATAGCCCTAACTATAGTAAAACCCTTGTAATAAATTTGATTTAATAAATTATTTATCAATAGATAATTATCTAATAGTATAGTTACATTTTTTAGGAATTAGAAGATGATGTAATTACGGGACCTTCTGAACTAGATAGAACATTTGTTTTTGAAGATGAAGGACATACACTGGGTTCTCTATTAACCTATGTTTTAGAAAGTTTCCCTGAAACAGATTTCTGTGCTTATTCCATAAGACATCCATCAGAAAATAAAATTTATTTACGGTTAAAAGTAAAAAAGGGCCACACCGTAGAAGATATTTTCAAACGTGGTTTTCAAGAGCTTAACCAAATCTTAAATCATGTTAAAAAAACTTTTAATGTGAGTCATATATTTAATTATTTTTTAGTAACATTCTATATTAATAATATTTTTTTTTATAGAAAGCGATTTCAGCTTATGAAGAAACTAAGGCAACTGAATAACTGAAGTTTTATATTGAAACCATGTGAATAAAAATTAAAAATTGTGTTTTACTAATAAAACAAAAATACAATAGCAATTACAAGACTTTATATCGAGCTTTATTAACCATGTGATGTGCAGAAGTTTGCATTTTCAATAATTCTTCTTTGATAAGACGAGTGATTTCTATTTTTGCTTTAGAAACTGCTAATTCATCAGTACTTTCAATAGCTAAAAATAGTTTACGTTCGCCTTCAGGAGGATTTTTAGGTGGTGGATAATAAGTACCTCTGACTGTTATCCCTGCTTCTGAATACTCTGATATTTGAGCTAAAGCCTCCTAAAACAACATTTAACATTATCATAAATTAACATATTGAACAAAACTTCTTTACTAACCTTAGAAGTAACTCTCCATCTAGCTTGCTGGGGGAAATCATTAATTTCTAATTCTTCTTCATACTTTCTAAATACTTCTTCTAAGCCTGCTTCAGGACTATCTCCGCATTCACTCTCACCATCATCGTCTTTTGGTTGATAATTCAGCCGGGTATTTAATTTAGCTGCTAATTGTTCAGCAACAGTCTTAGCAGTAATAACAGGTTGAGAGCTAGCAAGACCACCCTTTAATATAGCTTCTGCAGTTTGCTGTGATGCACCTTTGGCATCTGGTCCAAGGTTTTTAGCAATATGGATTCGTGAAGCTAAACGTTTGGCTAATTCAAGTCGTTCTGATGCTTGAGGAGTTCCATTTACTTCCACTAAACACATTCAATTCATTCATGAGTTGAGTAACAAATTATGAAATAAAATTATAGAATCATATGTAAAAAAATTAACTTTTATAAATATTATAATAAGTAAGCTTAATTTTTTAAATACATAACAAAAATAATTACTTAAGCCAGTTAAATTTGGAAGTCCTATAGCACTAGCTTTTACTTCTTTTACAATTCTCTTAGGTGCAAGCATTGTTTCAATTTGTTGATCAATATCTCCTTCTATGTCTTCATCGTCTGAATCTTGAAGACCTAGAGCAGCTTTTTGTAATTTCTTCTTTTCATTAGCCATAACAGCTTCAGTTTCATCAAATTTAAATCCTTTTCCACTAAAACCACCACCTGTATGAACTTGCTTTCCTTCCTAAAAATATAATAAATTATGTTAATATAATATTCTCCATGTATTGGGACTACTGACAGCTCACGGGGTTCGCACAAGGTGGTGTACAAACATTTTATAAGATATATAATATTTTATTCTATTTTTAGATTATATTGTTTATAATAACAGTTATGTGAACAATGGCAACGATAAATGGTCAATATTGGTAGTGCATTATCATTTAACAATAAAAATTAATAACAAATTAAATGTTCTCCAAATAACCATGTTATATTATTAACTGATGTGGCAACATAAATAGCTAATATTATTTTAAATGGCTGCTTGGAATACAAAAAGGCGTACTTTCTGTGCACCATATGAAGAGCTGCCACTTCCTACCTTATACGATAGCATTAAAACGGTTTGAAATTTTTAAACTAAATAGCGGGAGCATTTTAATTTTTAAAACGGTTAACATTTTATAAACTCTTTTAACGCAATCTTATAAACAAAATAACCGATTAGGATGTTAATTAATTACAGAAATTTAAGATAAAAAATATGTTAAAATTAAGTATAAATTATGTTTAAGATATTCAATTATGTAGGTTAATTTAGTGAATTTAGTTTATTTTAGAATGGTAATTGAAAAAATGAACGCCTGTTAAAAAGATAGAAATTTCATGAAAACTTTATTATGAACTACTTTTAATCCAATTTATGACAATTGGAATTACTTTAGATTAAAATTCTTTTTTCCAACCCTTTAATTGCTATACGACCACTAGCGGTCACACAATATAGATTATTGGTACAAAAAGTATATTTTAAGTGCCATTCCAAATTTGTTTATACTATATTCCGTGCTACAAGAGAAGGAACCCGTTTCGCGCATGCAGACTGACGATAGCTAGTAGTACTAGGCTCTATTTCCCCACTTTGTCCTCTACAGTTCGTGCTGTGGCGTGTATACATGTGCAAATTTGATTGTGTTTTGGTTGGGAGTTTGGGACACTGCACTGGGATACTTCTCTCGTGGCACGGAGTATATTGTAATTGAAAAAACAATATTATTTTATATCAATAAAATTGTAGCGATTCCGCTATGCCCATCACATTTTATAATATTTTATTGTAGTACCATGGAAAAGTTAAAAATATAAAACTATATTCATTTAAGGTAAATGAAGATACATATAAAATTTGAGAATTACAGATGACTGCCAGTGACCACGTGGTAGTTAACATGTTGAGCATTTTTTAAGTTTTAAATAATTAATGATATACTATACTGTCTATGCTCCATTCCAAAAGGAAAATTACTAGTTCTGCACACTCTATTCCTTTTCTACTAGTCACTACCCTATGTTTTTATATGAGRGATGCATGCCATAGGATGAAATGTGGCGACTGCTAGATATATTCTTTTTTTTGGAGTATATATAACAGTTAATGCTACTTACTGCAGCTTGTTTTGCTTGGTAACGTAGCCACATGGTACGCAAAGATTCTGGTACAGGTACATTAGATGTTTCCAAAGCTCTTATTAAATCACCAGCAAATCTTTCTTGGTCAGGTGAAACTAACGTGTATGCAAATCCTTTATTACCTGCTCTAATTTTACATTAAAATTCAAGTAAATTAGTTAAAAGTATGATTATTGTTTATTTCAATTTTCAACTATTTGTAAACATATTCAATTAAATTATTTAACTTATATGAATAGTAATTACCTTCCAGTTCTCCCGCATCTATGAACATAATCTTCATAATGATTGGGACAGTCATAATTAACCACTAATATCAAGTCTTTAACATCTAATCCTCTGGCAGCAACAGAAGTAGCAACTAACAATTTGATTTGACCACTTTTAAAATCAACTATAGTACTATCTCTATCATATTGATCTATAGCACCATGTAATGCCATGCATGGGTAGGACGCTTTTAACAATTTCTGTAGAAGTGTATCTGCATTCTCATGAGTATCTACAAACACAATACAACTTCCTTTTTCGTAATAAACTCCTAAAACTTCAAGTAACTTCATGAACTTTTGTTCTTCTTCTACAATAACTATATGCTGTTCGACTTCTTTGGCAACAACACTTCTACCTCCAATCTATAAAAATAATTAAATTGAAACTTTTGCGTACATAATTATTATGTAAAACAAACATACTTGAACTTCAACAGGTTTTTGTAGTATTCGTCTAGCTAAAGCTTCCATCTGACGAGGAAATGTAGCACTAAACATTACAGTTTGACGATCTGGGCGTATATTATCTATTACCCGCATTACTTGAGGTTCAAATCCCATGTCGAACATTCGATCAGCCTCATCTAATACCACATATGTTACTCGTCTTAAATTAGTAACTCTACCTGTATAAATAAAAAGTTATGAAGTTTATCAACTATAGCTATTTATTTAACTAATTGAATGATTGGAAAATACATCTTCAGTCTTACCATTATTAGCAGCTAACATATCAATCATTCGACCAGGAGTACATACAATAATTTCAGCACCACGTTTTAATTCTGCTATTTGTTCAGATATTCCAGTACCACCATAAACTGATACAACTCTTAACCCTAAACTCTTAGTAAACTTGCGTGCTTCTTTTCCAGTCTGCATACAAAGTTCTCTTGTAGGTGCCATAACAATAGCTAAATTAATTAATAAACAATAAAACATATTCTTTAATTGTTTTACAAAGTAACTTCAGTTAAAACTTTAATAATAAAAAAATTAATAATTCAATAGGAATTATGTAAAAATGTTACATTTAATTTTTCAAAATGTTAATAAATGTTATGAGTGTATTAATTAACAATTAACAATATATACTAAATTTAAATATAAAAGAATTAAGAGAAAGCCAAAAATAATTAAAATATAAAATATAAATAATCAATATGTAAGTACTAACCAATTGGTCCATCAGTGTCTTCCAAAGGAGGCTGATCCATAATATGCCTAAACATTGGCAATAAAAACGCCAGAGTCTTACCACTTCCAGTTTTTGCAATACCAATAAGATCTCGTCCAGCCATTATAGCAGGAATAGCTTGTGTTTGTATAGGAGTAGGTTTTTCATAATTATGTTTTTTTAAATTATCCATAATCTTTTTGCTCACACCACAATGAGCCCATACTTTTATAGGTCGAGGACATCCTTTTCCCTTTACTCGAACACCTTCTAATTCCTGGTAAATAATGAGTAGAATAAATTTAACAATAAAATGTTTTAATATTAAAATTTAAAATATTACCTCTTTATATTTTTCTACTTCTTCGGCAGTCATACGGGATATTTCTGGTACTTCAACATAAAAATTTTTCCTAAATGGTAAATAACTAATTTCAGCATGATCAATTTTTGGTAATTCTTTCTTTTGTTTATTAGCTAAACTAGCTGCAGCTACATTCAAATCCTCTTGTTCTTCTTCAGATGAATACTAGAAATTTTTGAAATATATTTAATATGTATTTATTTGTAATTGATTTATAACATACTTCCAAGGCATCTTGATTTTGCTCAATGAGTTCACCTCTGGTGTTATTATCTTTTTTCTTTGCTACTCCAGATACGATTACAACTCCTSAACTAGTAGTGTCAACTCCTAGACTTTGTTTAAGATCATTCAATGAATTTTTTTCTGTTAAATTACTTCGATGCCCATCTACTTTATTAACTTTACGTACTTCTTCTTGAACACCCTGAAATAAATTTATACGTAAGACAATAAACATAATTATAAGTACATTAATTAATAATATTTATCTAAAATTTTAGAAATAATTATAATTTATACACTCCAAATAAATGAATAACTTTTTATTTAAATATCAAATAAGATTCATTTTTTGATATTGTATCAATATTTTTATAACACAACTATGATATATTTTTTTAACACCTTTAAATCTGATCATCAATATCATTGACACAGTGCAACAGGAAAAGGGAAGGGCTAAAGAGATTATGGTCCATCAATAATTGATATATATAATAATATTTACAAAAAATTCAATAAATTTACTCCCAAACTTATTGGAGTAAGTATATTTTGGAAAAGGGTGACCTTTGCAATTACGCGGGTTTATAATTATATGATGCAATCTATTATACCTGAATACTTATTACTAAGGGAATTAWGTATTTATTTTTGGAATTAATATATAGTTTCATATCTCTTTTATATACAAGTTTTTTTGAAGGAAAAAATGTGACCCATTTGTTTGGTACAACACAACATGACACTAAAAAAAGACATATCTATTTTATTAACAGAATGTATGATTACCCAAGTTAAGTAAAATTAATGATTCTTAATTGTTAACATACATTTATAACTAATAATTTATTATCGGATTTTTTATATTTTTATTCTAATAATTAGTTTATTGATAATTATTAATAACATTTAAGTTCAAAGAATGATATTCACAGTTTAAATTTAGTAATTAGAAAATGTAAGCTTAAAAAAATTTAGCTCATGCCATTTAATGTAAAAACAATAAAAATAAAAATAGATTTAACCTGCATAAAAGCATCTAAAGGATCAATTTCTTCTTCTTCAATCAATTTCTCTGCATTGTTTTTTCCTTCTTCTTCCTCATCGCTATCATCTTCTAAATTCCATTTTTTTGAAGGTATTTGTAGGTTTGCTATAATTAAGAAGTTAATTAACTAAAATATGAAACTAATAAGTAATAATAATGTATAAGTTATAAGCTTCATCAACATAGTTTAAATATAAAAAAGAATACAACTTAAATATTTTAAATCAAAATATTGTCACCATAAATTATTCAAATAATATTGTTTATGAATATTTAGAAAAAATGTCTTATTATAATTAATGAATAACAAGGTACTTGTATGTTGTAATAGACCGGAAAAAGTTATAAATATATAATTTTGTCGTTTATTGGACATCCTAATGACAGGGCTGGCTCTAGACAAAATGTATACAAAGGCTAAATCAAAATTTGTTATCCATTTGTTTTAGTAGTCCAAGTATCAACATATTACCCTAAATACGGCCCTGCTTAACACTGAAACAATGTCACTCCAGGCAAAGGTCTGTGCCTTCCTAATGATTAAAATTGTTTGCATTGGGAATAGCTTCTTTTAAAAATGATTGTTTTGATGAAGTAATTAGTTCAAACAATAAACAATTTTAGTAAATTATCGTATATACATATTGTGTTACCTGCGACTGTTTTGTGTACAAAATATTTTTGTCACAAAATTCACAAAAATTGTACCATCTGTCGTGAAAATCATTTGTAGGTTATTATACGACAAAAACCATCGAGTGAATAAACATTTAAAGCTGTTTTAAGTTTTTGGCATATTTATAGACAATAGTAATATGAAAGGAAAGACAATATGAAAGCGATAATATATCAAATTTAAATATCAAAAAGCACCACAACTGAATTGTCAAGACATCTAACGAAAAAACTGATGTAATATCGCCATTGATAAGGAATACCTAGCGACTTATTTTAATTAGAATCTATAAAAATAACTTGTGTATTGAAAATTGTATTTATTGGTCATTATTATTAAAAGGCCAAATTATGTGAAATATTTTAGTCAATATCACTAAAATAAAATATAAAAATATTCTCTAGTCCCTAAAATATGCTTTCTTCAGCAAAACTAATTTTTTCCTATAAATTCTGTTTCATGAATCGTAATATCTTATTCCTATTCAACTGCATATACTAGAAACAAATATGAAAAATCATAAAAATGTGACCTCTACTTTTAATTCTCATGCTATTGATATTGATTACTAATTCCTGAAAAAAAAATGAGTGATAAATGTACTTACTACTAATTGATACGTAGTAATGTACCTGCTGTACAGCCGCACATACTACTAAAACACTGTTAGTATTTTGAGGTATAATAACACACAAGTACCAATAATTGTTCAAGAAAAATTTAAAATATTAAAACTAAATTTTATATATTTACAAGACTTACACATAATTGTAGTTCGAACATCTTTTTTTACACTATCTAATTCTTTTTTTTTGCGTTCTGCTCTCCAACGTTCAATACGTTCTCGACGCTTTTGCATTTCTAATTCAAGTTTTTTCTGTTCAGTTTCCTAGAATAGAATATTTAATAATTATTATCAAAACAGAACTTAAAATTTAAATCATTACCATAAACTTAAGAAAGAAAAAAAATTTGCATAAATTTAGTTTAGCCATCATTCAATGAACAAAATATCTGTGAACTCAATTTTGACTGACTGCCATCAAGCGATCTGTTGAAAAGACATTTTAGTTTAAGTAAGAAAAATCTAATATTGGCTAAAGTAAATTTTTGAACACATTTTTTTTCATCTAATTGGTAAATATGATTAATAAATGTTAAATATCTAAACCTTATCTGGATTGGTTGGATCAAAAGGCACTTCTTCAGGCTTACGCTCTGGTGACTTCCTTTTGTTACGTGGTGACCGGGAACGACGAGGAGATCTAGACTTTTTTCTGTCTCTTCTATATTAAACATATTTTTCATATAACATTAATTCATGATTCATATTAAATAACATAAGGTAGAATAAAAAAATTTTTTGGAAGTTTTTGTTTAGTTTATATTAATAAAGTTCATACAATATAATCCAGATAAAAGAAAGAATTCATGCAGCATTGATATATCAACATCATACATTATACACACCAATTTTGTGTTATCAGATCCTATTTATACTAATTATATATGCAATTCATTGCATTCAAAATATTGGAGTTAATACTAATCTCTGACATATGTATTATGAACATTAAAAACATAAGTATTTAAAAAATTGTAATTAGTCAATTCTAACATTGTATTTAATATTATACTTTTATTAATATTAAAATAGGTTAGTTATCAATTATTTTAACAAACCTTTTAATTCTAGAAGGAAAAATTATTACTATTAATAAAATAATAACACAGGTATACTCCGTATTTTGATTATAAACATTAATAATTAATTTGAAAATTTTTTATTATTTATTTTAGAGTATTAATTAATTTATATTAATATACAAACCTTTTAAATCTAAAAAAAAATATAGATATTAAAACAGGTAGGTTTATACATTAATATACTTATATAACATTTTTAAATGTTTTATTTGTAAAATTGATCAGTTTAAATATTATTTATAATAAAATCATTATCTTTATATTTACAAACCTTTTCTTTCTAAAAAAAAAGAATTATTTTTCATTAAATTTATTGATTTTCATAATTAAAAACTAAGTGTATGCAAAAGTTAAAAAATAAATTCTTACATTGATTTATGTAGTTTATGACGAGGCGATCGAGACCGAGATCTACTACTACGACGATGACGACGAGGACTCCGTGAACGGCTTCTTGAGCGTTTACGATGGATTCTATCGCTTAAATTACAAAATCTATCATTATTCAAATCTTATTCTTGGTTTAATAAAAAACTTACCTCCCACTACGAACCATGTTCAATTATTCAAAATAATTAAATAGATTTAGATTGMAATTTACTAATTCCCTACAAAGTCAAGATTTGTTTACACATGCTGTTAAATTTTATGTATACATCAGTTAAAAGAAGACAATATTCGATATTTGGTATTCACCCACGCTTGCTTATAAAAATTAGTTAAATATGTATTTATATTCTACAAATAACAATTCACTATTTGGGCATCTTAGAATTTATGATTTGTTTACGAAATAAGAATTATTAACATTTTTAACATTTCACCGTTTTGTTAATTTATCAAACAACTACAGCGATTTGTAAATCAATGACAATTGAAAACGTTTTCATGTTTTGGTAATTTTTTTTCAATTGCAAAAATGTCGTAAAGGTCACACTGAATTCTTAATATAATTTAAATCGTGTTTGCACTGTATAGTTTGTTTTTTATCTGTGGTACATAATATTTTACTATTATAGTAAAGTTCGCCTGTTCATCGTGATAAAGCATATTTTCTTATTTCTTATTACTTATATACGATTAGGTAATACTGGCTAGTGGCTACTGCATTAGTGTACTGTTTAATAAGCTTTTGACCTGCGACTACTTTTTCGCCGACTGCTTAAGTGCTTAGTTTTATTTAATCTAGTATTCTTAACTAAATTTAAATTTCTGTTATTTTTTGTTTTAAATATTTTCAAAATTACTAAAACAATGTCTGGGGCAACTGCATTGTTTGGAAATACTGCTGGGAGAAATCAGTCCAAAAATCTTGTAGAGTTCAAAGCTGGAAAAATGAATATGAGAGGTAAAATGGTCTACCCTGACAAAAGAAAGGGATTGTTATACGTTCATCAATCAGATGATTCTTTGATTCATTTCTGCTGGAAAGATCGTTCATCAGGTGTTGTTGAAGATGTAAGTTGTTACTTGTTACACCTAAATTATCAAATTTCTGTTTCTTATTTAAAAAAACTTCCTATCTATGTAATAGTTTATTGAAATAAACTTATTACTTAGGCCGGTTCTTACAATGTACAGTTAAGTGTTTGTTAACGGTTAACCAATGGTTAGTAAGATTTTTACTGGCAGAAATCCACTGGTTAATTGTCAGTTAACTTTAACTGGAGATTGTAAGAACGGCCCTTAGTATAATATAGTTGACAGTTTTTATAGTGTTAATCATTTGGATATTCATAGCTATTCCCGCAATAATTATGTAAGATTATGTTTAAATATCTTCATCTATTTTTCTTGATCATCTTAAAATAAATTGAAACTATTGAATAATATTTTTAACTAATTTATATAGTTCCACTGATCATGATTTTTGTTTTGAAGGGAGAAGTAGCTTCAGCTTCATACCCTCCTCAATTAGTTACTGTATAATAATGTCTGTCCATTTTTCAAAAGATTTTTTCTTGTTGATACTAGTCAATTTACAATAAGAGACAATACTATGTAAGTACATAGTTTATATAATAATGCCAAACATATTATTTTATATATTTTCGGTTCATCACTTTAAAACTAAGAGTATTTAACTTATATTTGAATGATTACAATATACTTATAGCATATAGGTACAAAATGTGTGCCTAGTCCATAATTTTTCATTGTAAAATCTGACATTTGTACCTACTGTTATTCTCTTGGATAGAGTTTAGTAATTTTTAGGATATTCTTTCTGCTTAGTATCAAACTATGAATATTCAAAATTCAATAAGTAGGATATAGGTAGGTAAATATTAAATTATGATTTTGTGTCATTTTAAAATATACTTATGTTGAAACTAGGTTAATATTATTAATGGTGTTATTAACACCATTACAAGGAAAAAATTACCTAAAATTCCAATTTTTTTTTTTTTTTAGGTATATAAATATATATTATTTTGTTATAAATAATTATTTTGATTGAAAAATACCTATAGGTATTAACTTTAAAATAATTATTTTTCATTGCCTAATTATTATTAATTAAAATTGTGACAAAAACATAAACATATATAACATGGATATTTATTTCATTCAACCATGCTTCTTAATAAAATAAAAAAGTTAATCACCTAAATAATAAAAATTATTTAACTGAAATTAAATTATAGGATTTAATAATTTTCCCTGATGACTGCGAGTTTAAATTTGTACCACAATGTACTACTGGAAGAGTTTATGTACTGAAATTCAAGTCATCTAACAAAAAGTCATTTTTTTGGCTGCAGGTAATATATTTTTATTTATGAACTTCAGTGATAATTGTTTGATAATTTATTTATTGTTAATTGTATGTTTATATATTTTTTAGGAATCAAAAACTGACAAAGATGATGAGAATTGTCGTCGTATAAATGATGTCATGAATAACCCTCCAGCACCTGGTTCAAATCGAAGTGGTGGCACTACTCCTGGTTTGTTTACCAGTCTTAAATAATATATCATGTTTATTCAAATTAAAATTTAATAATTCATTTTTATTTTGTAATATCTGCTTATTCTTAATAAGTAATAAAAATTTAAATATGTAAAAATGCAAAATCATGCCCTTTAAATGAAAAAATATTTATTAATTCTAAACACATTTAAAATTAAAAACAATAAAGCCCAAATCTGTATATAAAAGGAATATAAAGCCATAGTTTAATATTATTTAAATGCATATATCAACAATAATTATACAGAATGTCACACCGTGTTTTTCCTCGTTCATACCCAACTTTGTTATTCTCTTCTGCCTTTTCTTCTATTTATCTATTTGAGCACTTAATTAAAATTAGTATTTCAACTTTAATTTTTTTACATAATTTGGATACCTCGTTTTATTAAGAAATATATATGAAAACAGTTATTTTTATTTAATCAATTAAACCGTAAATACTTTATTTTGCATTTGTTGTGGTTGTATAATATCATTTTTCAAACTATAACTCAGAAATAAAGTTATTAATGGGGATAAATATGGTGAGAAACTGTATACAAACTTAAATGTATGTTATAATTTAACCTATTTATATAGATGGTGATTTGCAAAATTTATTAAGCAATATGTCTCAACAACAATTAATGCAGTTGTTTGGTGGAGTTGGTCAAATCGGAGGCTTATCATCTTTGCTTGGTACAATGAGGTAAATATTAAACAAAAGTATGTGATCATAAGTTTTTGAAAAATAATATTTCACTTAGATCTAGTCAAACTGGGCGCTCATCTTCAACTCATTCATCTAGTGTACAACCTGCTAATACCAGCAGCACTACTAATACAAACAGTGGTAGTAATCGAACAACTAGCACTAATAGTTCTCCTCCTCCCACAAATAGTGTTACCACTGGACCTACAGGTGACAACAGCAATATAATTATAGATATTTTGTGCTAAAATTATTAAACTAGTTAATGATTTTTAGAAAGTCAAGAACAAAGAGCTACTGGCATACAACTCAGAGATCTTCAATCTATGTTATCTGGATTGACTGGTGCTCAAGGAACAACTGATAAACCACCAGGTCATAAAACAATTTTTTAATTTAATTATCAGTCATATTCTTTGTGATTAATATTAATTGTTCTCTTTTAAAATATAGTTGATCTGTCTGCTGCTATGGATATGGAAAATTTACAAAGTGTCATTGAAAATACAAATGCATTGAATCAGTTAGCACAACATTTACCAAMATCAGAAAGTACTTCAGATTCGACACCTACAAGTCAATCAACACCTGATAATTTGAAAGACACAATTACTTCCCCACAGTTTAGACAAGTAAATACTTAAAATAACATTTTAGACAAAATTTGTTCAAGGGTGGTTTAAGAGAGGGATAGCTATTCAAAATACACAATTATCCCTCCAAAAGATTGCTCTATATTTATTTTTAGGGATATGGACACTTCTAATTTATTTATAATTTCATAAAATATATAATAAAATATTTATTTAATATTGGTGGGTCTAGTTGAGAGGATGGACGTCAAATAAATATAATTTTTTGAGGTATGATGTTAACAATGATGAACGTCTCATGATGTTTGTGAACATTAAATTAAAAAAATAATTTTGTGTATAAAATAATATATTATAATATACTTGTATTATTTTTTCAATCCTTACCTATATAAATTGATCATTTTATAGATAAATTTTAACTGCAAAATATTTTTAAAATTATCAAAAATTTGATGAATTTAATGAACAATTAAGCTTAAAATGGTTTTAAAAAAATCCTGCCTATGTATACATTTTTAACTGCTATCGTAACATTTTATGAAGAACTTTCATACATTTTCAAGCCTTTTGACCCAGCAAAATTGTTTATGTCTATATTTATAGAAATTTAATATTATATGAACATTCATAAATTCTTATAAATAATTTAAAAAATGCATAATATTTTGACTATTTTATCTATGCATATATAAAAGTTTTTCGATTGAGCGAAAAATAATTTATCTTTTGCCCCTTTCAGATCATGCCTATTCATACACACATTGTAAAATCAATACATTAATTACTATGCTCAAAATCTGAAAATGAAAGAAAATCAATTTTGGCAATATTAATAACAATTTTTCTTGTACTCAAAAACGAATGACTATAGATACTTGAAATTTACAACAATTTTTGGTACTTATATTTTGTCTCGACTACCTTGGGTGCATACCCGTGTTATTTCATCTACTACAATTGTGTTATCAAGTTAACACAATCAGATTATGATAAAGTTATATTTAATTATGTTTAATAAAATGTTAAGCAAGATTAAAATTTAAAAAATAATATCCATGCTATTTCAAATTAAAAAATAATACTTTATTATTATATAATAGGTATTTAAACAGGATTCTAACAGGTAGTCTTGGAAATATTTTGGTAATAGAGATAACACAGTTAATAATAATAGATATTTGGAATGATTTTAGTAGTTGAGATGACACATAAGTACCCAATTTCTAAACAGGTCATTAAAATAAAAAATTGTTTCTACAAAAATATGTTAAAATAAATTTAACACTGATGACTGATGTAATACATATATATTTCAATTCAAAATTTATAAATTTAGTAATAACCTAAAACCTTATGTTAGTTATATCTGTCATGTAATAAATACACGGTGAATACAACATTTTTTATAAGACTGATAAACATAAATATTTAATTTATTAGATGAAATATATTTATACCTATTTCTTTTAACTAGAATTCTTTGTAGATAAGTGAGGTAGAGTTGTGTTAGTTTATATAATATTGCAGTTATATTAAATAATACATTTATTATATATAAAGATAATGGTTCATAAAATATATTGTTAGTATAAATTAATTCAGATATTAGCCCACCCATCCATGAGTACTTGCCCTTATAATATTTTATTTTTTGAAGTTTTAAAAAATATTTTATTTGTATGCATACTCACATAAACTATATACATTAATATTTCTTTTTTAGGCTGTAAGTATGTTTAGTAATGCTTTACAAACTGGGCAGCTAGGATCTGTGGTTCAACAGTTTGATTTAGGAGAAGGAGCAGTAAGTGCAGCTAATCAAGGTAACATGGAAGAGTTTGTACGAGCTCTTCAACAAGCAAATATTAGTGCTGAAGAGTCAGATGATGCTTGTCCTATAAACCCAGAAAAACGCAAAAAACCAGACAACGATGATGTTGGGTCAAAGTAATTCTACTAATATTCTACGATTTATTTTGAATGAAGATGAATTTAGGCATTTATTACAGTTTTCTTATTCAATTAAATTTATAATATACTTATAATAAATAAACAATAAAATTTATCCAGATAATTTATTTTTTTATAATTTTTAACCATTAAAAAAAATTTCCAAATCCTCTGATAAAACTTGTCATTTTATTCCCCAGTCATCATTTCCATAAACTCTGAAAAAAAAAGTTATTTCATGGTAAGTATTAAACCTAGTATTTTATAGGTTATTGTATTTATAATACCGTCAAAGTCAACTGTGCCTGATCCATCTGTATCAATCTCAGCAATGATGCCATCCAAGTCTTCTGGACCTAATTTGTCATCTAATGCTGCCAATATTTCTCTTAGTGTGGCAGTAGTAATGTATCCATTACCTTCACGGTCATAGAGTCGGAAAGCTTCTTTTAATTCTTCTTGCATAGCTTCAGCATCATCTTCTTCAAGAAAATGTGCAGCGATTTCACAAAATCCATCAAAGTTAACTTTTCCTGTTTCTGTAATAATATATAATATTTATATATAAATATTTATTGGTACAGCTGTAAATAATATTTTACCATCTGGATCGACTTCTTCTATAAGTTCATTTAATTCTGAATCATCGAACAATTGACCCATAGTATTAAGTATGGTACTAATTTTTAATGTGTCAATAAAACCAGATTTAGAAGTGTCGAACATTTGAAACGCCTTTCGCATAACTTAAAAACAAATAGGATTAATGACTTTTAATGTACTTAATACCAAAACAGTAATCAATGCAAGTAAGTCAAGAATGATATCTTAATGTCTTTTTATTTATTTACTGAGCTATAATCAATTAATTTAACATGTTGTATCTGAAGAAAACAATTCTAAATGAAAAAGATACACCAGTCTGTTTGTGCCAAGACCTACATAGGTATTTAATTTATATGAAAGTGGTATCCTTAGGGCTAAGGCTATAAATGGTATTTTGATCAAGTTTCATCCGAGATGATATAGGTCATCACTTGAGGTATAAATAAGGTGGTATATTTGAAATAATTTATAATTATAGTAAATTATTAATATTATTAGGTGTATTTTGTATATCAAAAGTATTCAAACGTGTGCGATGAGTGTTTGCCAAGGCAGACGTGATACAGAAGAGGAAAAGTTTGAATACCCCTTGTGTATACAATGTAGTGTTCAATAGTAAAGGTATTAGGCATATCTTAAATCATGGTATTAGGCATAGATAATACATATGTATTATCTATGGTATTAGGTAATACAAAATATTATGAAAGTAGGACCCGGATTTTAATTTAGGGTTTTTTACAGCATTTAAATTTAGTGCTTAAAGCAATTCAAAACTGAACATAAAATTTTACTGAATTTCCCCCCTCATCCATTTTTTAGTTTGATTTTCATTTACTGTACTAATATCTTAATATTTGCAAGCTCTTTACGCAGTAAATAAAATCACAAATGAAATTCTCGTTGCCTTATGCATTCTAAATAATTCGTATTATCTTTATTATTTAACACACTGTAAAATAAATGGCTTAAAATTTATAGCAATGATGATTACTTAGAATTTTGTACTATTTCAGTCAATTATTTTATTTTCGCCAAAAAACTGGCTACTCGTGTTTATTTCTCACGTATTTTAGCGATTTTTGGTGAGGTTAAAAACTTAAAATATATACTTTATACAATATATATAGATTCTAAACTAGTAAATTAAGTATAATGTATCATATAATTTATAAAATATTTTGAAGAATGTGGAAAATCCCATGTATTATGTATCCAAGTCTGGCAAGTCTTAGTTACCGTATCCTGATTGTGTAGGTATCTTTCTATATTTTTGTGCGTAAGTAACATAAACAGATTATTTTATTCTACTGTAAATAATATACAGTAATAATTATTCGTATGTTATAAGTTGGGTGAAATGAGATTTATACTACTTCAGTGATCTAGAATGTTTTTGATTTTGACAATGTACAATTAAATTAGGAACCTAATTTAAAAATGTCGAAGTTTAGAGCTAGTTTCTAGTATAAAATAATAGGAGGAGATTTCTAGTTTAAATAAATAGATAGATGTTATCATTGTTATCTATTTACTCTTTTAATAAATGCCTATTTTAATAAAACATTTGATTACAGTAGAATGAAATTAAGAATATCTTAAATAATTGATAGTTTAGTAACTTGAAAATTAATATTTATAGCCGTCAATAAGTAGGTACCTACACATCTTACCTAATTCAAAGCAGAAGATAATAATATAATTAAATAACACATATAAATTATGTTATTCTTTTTAATTTATTTAAATAATAGGTTACGTTATTATTGTAGTTTAATCAAACCATAAATATATAAATTATAAAGCAAAGTAATATAATTTTCATAATCATACGAAAAATGGAATAGGTAGGTACTTAAAAGAAAAAGCATATTTTTTAATACCTACCTGTATAATTTATGCCAGTTCAAATTAGTAAATGTATACATTTATAAAATATAATAATTATAATTTTTATGTCTACATTTTTTAAGGTGAATAAATTTGTCTCAAAATTAATTAAAAAAAAAAACATATTTTGTCATATAATGTTTGTACATAAATGCATTTATGCATTAAAATTCTTAAATCTTTATTTTTAATTTCTTAATAGATAATTAAAATTTAGCTAAGTATATATATATATATAATATGTTCAGCAAAATACTTATTATAGCGTAATTAATTATTAATTATACTATATTACTCATACATAAAGGTAGGGTTCTTCCTACTTGTTTAAATCAATCAATTATTTAATTTTATACTTACTGGCTACTTTTTGGTCATCTTCGTCCTGTAACATAATACGTTTTCAATATTTCTATATTATATGCGCACCTTTATTATAATTTGTCTTAATTATATTATAGTTTACATAGGTACCTATCGCACTTACCATTTTGGTTTCTATCGCTGGTGTCAGTATATAGTGATGCTCGCGAGGTTTGTAGTCCGAATCCCTAGGTAAATAGCTGTTTGTTGCTTGAGCTCTAATTGGAGGGGAAGGCTTAGAAGAACCCATAAAAGAAATATGGTAAAAATAGATAGGCATTCCATTGGCCTATTCTTACACCTCTACGAATATGAAATTTATGATATCACCTTGCCATATTATTATATAGTGAAGAAAATACTTAACGCTAATTTACACATCACAAAACATTCTCAAAGTACTTGATTATTTCAAGCGAGTAATGACAGAAATTCTTTCGTTTAAGATTAAATTAATTTTATTTAATATATTCATAAAATTTCATTATTTTAACAAAAACGACCGGTTAGAGTTCAAAAGTTTCTACCTAATTTTCCGTTCAGTTAGTTTTTAATATACTTGAAAAAATAAATTCATATTATGCATAGCTCATATATTTTAATTTAAATTTACTTACGACTTCACACATGACGAACATGATGTATATAATAGTAAATTCTATATAGATACATTTGTAAATGTTGTCATATAGGTATCGTTTAAACGAACCATGTCGGGCAAATCATTAAAATAGGTAATGAGCCATAACTAAACACTATTCTAACGCCCACTACTAAACATATTTTTGTACTACAATATAAATAAGCCTCATTATTTAGCCTTGCTAGTTGTTATATACTATAAATGTGTTGATGACTACTTTTTTGGGAAATTGATTATAAAACTGAAATCAATTTACCTATCATATTTGGAATATATTTTATTACATTGTTTTAATTTCTATCAATTTGATTTAAATAGATATGCTATATTATATATATTTGCTGTACAAGTATCCGGTGGAAGACATAAGTTCCAAACCGGTATAAACAAAAAATAAATCGTATCGTACAAAACCGCCAAAATCTCAGATATAATATAACTAACTAAAAAAAGGAGGGTAAGTCGTGGATGTCGCTCTGCTGTACAGTAGGTTACAAGTGGGTTACTGTAATGGATATAATTAAATTTGAATCCAATGATATTATTATACCATTGTATACGAAAAACGATTCTGAGCGAAGACGGTTTATCTGTCTAGGATATATTATAGATTATTAAAAANTTATAGATTATTAAAAAATTTCAAATCTTAGATTTAAAAAGAAAATTTTTTATGAATTTCTAGCATAAAATAATTTATGAATTTTCGTGATTTTTACGTATGTTGTSAAAATYYAAACTTTGAATCCTTGTAAAAAAAAAAATTGTGACCATGAATTTATTTTATTTTCCAAACTGCTATTGTTAAAATGTGTTAGAAGCCTTGTATTAAATTTTCAAGCTTTTCTACCGAATAGATAAATTTTTATCGATATTTATAGAAAAAAAAACTAAAAAAGTTGAAAAATTAAAATGTCAGTAAACAGCTCAAAACAAATCTAAATATTTTGAAAATTTTATCAAACATATAAAATGCCTATATAAACATTCAGTCAAAATTTCAAGTATCTGCGGTCATTTGTTTTAGAGTTATACCAAAATAAGGAAATCGCTAAAAGTGAAAATCCAATGTTGTAAATATTTAATTTGAATTTCCGGTGGAGTTTTTATTTGTGATAAAGATTGAAAACTTGTAAGGAATCTTGTATTAAATTTCCAAATCTTAGATATAAAAGAAAACTTTTTTATGAATTTCTAGCTTAAAATAATTTGTGAATTTTCGTGATTTTTACGTATTTTGTCAAAATTCAAACTTTGAGTTAAGAGCCTTGTATCAAATTTTCAAGCTTTTCTGTCTAACAAATAAATTTTTATCAATATTAATTTAAAAAAAACTAATAATGTTCGACATTTTCAAATGCCTATGAATAGTGCAACTGAAGTCGGAAATTTTTGAAAATTGCATGGTGGATAGAATATACTTTTATAAAAATTTGGTGAAAATTTCATGTATCTATGTTCATTTGTTCTAAAATTACATCAAAAACCAAAATCGATTTTGTCGAAAAATGTGTGCGTAAAATTTTCCGTTTTCCCTTAATTTTTAGTTTGTTTTTCTCGATTATTTAGAAAAGTATTATCACTTTTAACCCCCCAAAGTACCAACTAGATTCACTTTCTGATCGAACGAGGTACTGAAGTCAAAAATCGAAGCACTTTTCTGCCCCAAAACGTGATGACAGACACACAAAAAAAAAAAAACACACATCATGGTAAAATCAATACATTCATCGCTCCGCACAGAATCTAAAAAAATATATTAGATACTTGATCATGATAAAGCATCAGAATTTTTGTATTATAACTTATAACATTATATTGCTAGTGTGCAAGTAGGTACCTACTTAATAATCGTTTGTATTTCGTGTAAGTAATACCGACAATTAATTTTACAAAACAATAACAAATAAACAAGCATTTAATYTAATTCAATAATATATTGATAAATTTAAGACAAAAGGGTCATATGACCAATGATTAAATTTTAGATATACAGCTATATTATATATTTTAGAAATTTAGGATTAAATTCCGGATAAAGATATTAAATTAACTTACAAACTTCAAAAGAATATGCAGCTGAAATTATTTTCGGAATTTAAAAAATCAATTTTATGTAGCTCATCGTTCATACAATTATATTAATTAATCAATGTCTTACTAAATTAACAAAGTGAAAAACATATATTTATTCATGAATTCTAAATTATACTCTATACTTGAAATTGAGGACATCTCCTGAGAGCAGATTTCATCAAGTTTCTAGTTTAAATAGAAAATTTGTAGATACTATAAAAAAATATTATGTTCATTTTTTTTTTCATATAAATAAATTTATTATACCTTGAAGGTACCTATCTATTATTTTATCATTAGATAAAATTATAATTGAACTTACTTATTTTTAAATAAGTAAGTATATAAAATATAATGCATTCATAACATTTATTGGTTTAATAGTATTATTGTTAATTGAAATTATTCTTATTTTTTTTTTTGTTTTTGACATAGGTATGGTAATATATTAAATATATTTTTATATTGGCGCTTATTTCCTCATTAGGTACCTGCTATACTACAGTACTTAAGTGTTCGTTCGTTCAAGTTTTAAAAATGTGTGATTCGATTGTCAAGAATATTGAGGATAGTTTATTTTTAATTTCTTGCTAAGGAATAATAAATAAGGGTTTGCACAATAATGTCATTTTTTCTACATAAATGAACCCATACGTTTTGAATAGCTATATATAACGTTCAAAATAAAGCAAAAAGTCTATGAGTTCGATTAAATAACACTCTTACTTTTAAATTGTAAAAGAGGTCATTTCTACTTTTTAAACTAACGGAGCTAAACGAGATCTGTGGAGAATAAAATTTGCTATGTTACGTAATTGTAAGACGGAGTCAACACACTCGGGTGTAATGTCTTCTTAAGGTATCAAATTATTGTCTAATAGGGCCTAATGATAAAACGAAATTATTTTTCTTAGAAATCTGCAGTTTCTATGACAAAATTAGACAAAGAGAGTCACCCTGGATGACTACGGTACTTCTCAAAATAATCAGGAAAAAATGAATGAACGTAGATTTTTAAAACATCCAATCTATTTTTGTGCTATTTTTGTACATTTGAGATATTTGTTTTATATTGATTGCAGTTTTTTTCTTAATATTTTTTTTTTTTATCTTCAAAAAGCAATACAAAGTTTTACATTTTCACTTTTTTGTAACTATTATTTTTACATCAATTTAAATATTAAAATATATCAAAAATATATATAGTCATAACTCATAAGTAAGTTGTCTAACATGCGTAAAACATAGATCTTATGTGAAAATAGTAATAGGTTAGCTGCTAATTGATATAATGTATTACTGATGTCTGATGGTATATTATTATACCTACTTATATTTATATAATAATTATGTATATACCTACTATTAGATATTTTTTTTTTAAAACATAATACTAATTAACTGTTGTATCCAAACATTCCAAATCCAACTGAATTGTTTGTATAATATTATTTGGAAATTCGAAGTAAATTATCATTATTTCAGAACCTATAGATCCACAATATAATATACACGCAGTGAATGTGATGAATTAGTGATAAGTATTCATACCCGTGTTTTTTCTATTTAAATATTAGGTATTTACCTATATTATGGCAAATGGGTATGTATAGTCGGTGGAGTGGTGGACAACAAACAGATTTTAAAAACAATACATGGAAACAATCCAAGTAGTCAACCTACAAACATATTTCTCCGATAGGTGTGGTCAGTGGGAGAATTTAAAAATATTTTTCAACGGTTTGTAAACTAGCTGTTACAGAATTGTGAAATACGAGCGCCAGGCGTGTTGCATGACGAGATCACATATTTTAAGAACCAAGCCAAATTGTCATCGATAAGACGATATAGGTACTTACTGTACAATAAATAAAAAAAGAACAAATCAATCATCGGCGAGCTGCGAGCATATGCATTATTATACTGTTGACACTTGGCACCATATACAAATTTTTTTAATTATGAGTTAAATATCACCATAAAACATGTTAACGACGAAGCTAATAAAATAAGATTTTTTTAAACCAAACGGGCTATCACTATTAATGTTTTATTTAATAAGACATTGCTGTAGGTATTGAAATGTCAAACATTATTTTATGAATTAATATAAAATAAAAAAATTGTCCTGATCATTGATAATATTATATTGTGTAGGTACCTAAGACCTAAGTAGATGCAATTCTGCAGATACCTATACATTTACCTCAACCCTTGTACATTATAATTTATTGCTACCTATCTACTTGGACGAATACGATAAATATACACTTAAACTGCAAAGCTAATGTTACTATAAATACATTATCTGTTATATGTATTACATTGCACAAGATAAGTATATATTTTATTCTCAATTAATAAAATATAAATTATTAAGTTATTAGGTATTATATGATAAGATGAAACGAAGGAATTGCAAATAATGTAAATATTATGGGATTTATGTAGGTTTAGGTACTATTGTACTAATAAATTCTAATAAATTAATTTTTGAAAGAAATAATTATTGGGGTAATTATTCTTGATGAATTACACTGTATGGCTAAAATGCTATATAATAAACACCCACTAAGCAGTGGCTATCTGTTTCATATATAGCTAGATATCTATATCATATTAATATATAGTTTGGCTTCATATATTAGTGTCAAATCAGAATATATCTATATAATCAAAATACTAGCGATCATTTCAACTAAAAAAAGCGGGGAAGTCGTGGATGTCACTCTGCTGTACAGTAGCTAGGTTACAAGTGGGTTACTGTAATGGATATAATTAAATTTGAATCCAATGATATTATTATATCATTGTATACGAAAAACGATTCTGAGCGAAGACGGTTTATCTGTCTAGGATATATTATAGATTATTAACAATTTTCAAAACTTAGATTTAAAAAGAAAATTTTTAATGAATTTCTAGCTTAAGATAATTTGCGAATTTTGTCAAAATTCAAACTTTGAATGCTTATAAAAACAAATCGTGACTATGAATTTCTATTATTTTTCAACTGCTATCTAACAATATGTTGAGAGCCTTGTATAAAATTTTCAAGCTCTTTTACCCAACAAATACATTTTTATCGATATTAATTTAAAAAAAACTAATAATGATCGAAAATTGCATTTGCCTATAATAGTTCAACTTAAGTCAACATTTTTTGAAAATTGCACGGTGGATAGAATATACTCATATAAATATTAGGTGAAAATTTCATGTATCTATGGTCATTTGTTTTAAAATTACACCAAAAACCAAAATAAATTTTGTCGAAAATCGATTGTGCATAAAAATTCCCATTTTAAGTTTGTTTATCCCAATTATTAAGAAAAATTTGGGAATTTTTTACTTTTGACCCCCCAAAGTACTAACTAAATTCACTTTCTGATCGAACGAGATTTTCTGAAGTTGAAAATCTAAGCACTTTTACTGCCCTAAAACGTGATGACAGACACAAAATAAAAATAAAAACACACATCATGGTAAAATCAGTACATTCAGCGGAGCGCTCAGAATCTAAAATTACTGTTCAATACTGTTCAATTGTTCCAATACAAAGATAACTTTTTGTGTTAAAATTCATATTGAAAGTTAATAATTAAATGGTGGAAAATATAATCAACCATGACTTTATCCAAAATATTTATCGTTTTAATTAGAAGGGAAATTATTTAAAATTTGATTTACTTGTAAATTAACAGTCTAAGAGGGTTAATTAGGGAAAAGTGAGAACAGAAAAAATATTTATTATACCTAATTAAGTGATTTATGCTTGGTTATTCCAATTTTTATACCGTACAACTGTAATATTCTATTTTCAATTTACCTACTAGACATTTCAAATCAATTGCAAGGTTATTTGTACACAGTGGTGTATTTACAAGAGGAGAGGAAAGCGTTACCTATTTTATTGGTGTTGCTATTTACATGAATAATTTTGAATATGTTTATTTGATGTAAATTATAAAAAAAAATAAATCACTAAGTATCACATACTTGTGAAATTAGTTTTGTGTAATTTGAAGTGAAAATCTAATTTAATCCTATGAAATATGTAAATTTCATAAATTTTTAATAATGATTTTCAATTTTGAAGTATAACTAGAAAATGTTTTGAAAATTCAAGAATTTATCAAAGGCTTAATGAACCCCAACCTAAAACACCTGGCTATTTTACTGTTTATACTGGATTATTTACAATCATGTTGTGATATTACGAGTAAAAAAGGGAAAACTTGTAATACTCAATATTGAGCCCATCACCATAACATTAAATATAATTTAATTCCCCAAGATTATGAATGAATTACTGCTACCAATACTAATTAAATTCCCTTAATAACACATAAATACAAAATTAATTATTCTAACAAAATACAATTTATTTCACAATTTATAAGTAAAAAAAAAAAATCATCAGTACATTACTTTTTAATATTAGAAAATAATAAATTAGTATTTTTGACATAAGAAAAAAAAAAGTAAACTAATAGCCACTAATAACACACAAATATATTGATGAAATTGTAAAATTTAATTTTAATTATCTGTATCATCATTAGATAATGCACGAGGTCTAACTAAATCCAATCGTCCTGCTTTTATCATATCATTTTCCCACTTAAGAAGTTCATTTTTATAGTTTTCGTTATCTACAGCAGCTGATTCAATATACTTTGATTTTCTATTTTCATCCAATTCTTTCCATTTATTAGCAACTGTTACCATATAAGTTTGAACTGGTTCATTTCCATGGTTTTTTATTTCTTCAGTTACAAACTTCAAATATGCAGTTAAAGGTTTACGGGGTTTACCTAATTCTTTTAATTCCTGAAATAAATTTATAATATAATAACTAATAAATTAATTAATTTGTATTTTTTAACTTACTTTTTTGAGTTTGCGTTTTGTTCTTTGTTCTAACTGTTCATATTTGACTCGAAACAACTCATTTTTTTGGTCAACAGTCAAGCTTTGATTAAAAACTTTTATATTGTCTTTGTATTGTTCAAGTTCTTTGTTATAAATTTCAGTCATTTTTTTCTTAGTTTCACCATCAAAGTCCTTCCATGATTCACTTAGAAAACGAACTGCATCTAAAATTAATAATAGTTCTCTTATTAATTATACATATATGACAGTATTTGAATTCAATGTAGAATAGGCCTGCATGGTTATAATATATAATCGGTTATATCAGTGATTTTACAATAATTTATAACACCAATTAATTGCTTTTATAATTAAATCGATTAAAATTGATCTATCAATTTATTATAAATTTCATAAGTTATTAATACGTTTATCAAGTTAATCAAGTTAAAACTGAAACCGTTAAAATACATGTAGAAGGTATAACTTTATTACCTGTGTAAAATTATTAAAATGTTGGTTTCTTAGCGAACGGTTATAAGAGATTTATGATATTTTGATTTTAGGTAGTCCTATAATAGTTCTTTACCTATACTCCTATTTTAAACAGTGTCTTTGTTTTTTTTATTTATATATGATATTACTTCTGTTTAAATAGTTTCTTATTTATTTTAGAGTTTTTTAAAATTTTTTATAATATAAAAGTGTTGCATGTATAAGTGTTTTTTCATGTACAACCAGTTAATAGAGTATAATAAATAAAGATAATAATAAAAATTGTAATTTTGATAATCCGCTATCCATTATACACGGGAAATATAATTTACTACAATCTTATTTATTTTTGAATTAATCGGTTATTTAGCTCAATTGTTGAATTATGAAATTAATGTATTAGTTAGAAATCCATTGATTAATCGGATATCCGATTAACCGGTAAAATCTATTAAAACTTAGAATTGATAATCGGTTGTGCCAAATAATAATCGCACAGGTTATATAGAATATAACAAAAAACATAAAAAAAAAGTTTGTATCAAATGAGATGGTAAATAATGTATTTACATTGGAAGCAATTAGTATAAAAAAAGGAAGTGATACATTTTTGGATGTAAAAAATTTTTCACTGCACTATTCGCAAATTTTTAGTGCAACATGGTATTCTACTACAGTGTACACTGTAGTGACACTACYTATGGTTATCGCTACAAAAAAAAATTTAAAAAAATTGTATGTTAGAGCGAGTCTTTGTCAGTGTTAATTATTATAATATATAAAGAAAAAGCTGCTAAGAGTTATGATATAAACAGACAACAATG